TTCCTGCATCTTTCAAGAAAAATGTGTTCTTGAATTTAGCATTGATTTTGTCCATTTGGTTATGTTATTCTCAGTTTGAGGTGTGTACACTCCTGTTTCCCTCCTTGCTGTTTGAGTTGTGCAGAGCCTGGGAGGAATTCAAATTTACAAGGCCTCTCCCTTTTCTGTTGTACGGATTGACCTTTTCCAGGGTTATCTACAGGGATCTTCATTCACACCTTCAGCTTCTCCCGGAGCAGCTCTTAGCTGGTTTTCAGATGTAAAACAGGCCAGTCCTGTTACCTTCCAGGCATCCTTTTGTTAATTTGATGGAATTTTTGGTTGAAGAATGAACTTTATTTGCATGTAGATAGTAAATTACCTGTTGGTAAAACAGAGCTAAGTGCTAATTGCATTATTTGAGTCTAGATAGTGACCTGTCTGTGTGCTAGGTAGAACTAGCTAGTGATTTTGGAAAATATTTTGTTGCCAACACTGCATTGTAAAGGAACATTCCCATTTTGTTTCGTTTAAAAAGGAGTTGGCCTGAAGGAGAAGGACTAAAACACTGCCACCCACACCTTACTGCTCCCGTGGTGGCAGGATCCACCTGGGAAGTGTCCAGAATCATCATTATCCTTCAAAAGGCTCAAAAGTTCAGTGGTGTTTTATGAATCACTTTGTGTTCGGTGTTGCTTTGGCCTTCAAAAATTTCCAGGGTTTACATGGATTTAAGAGACTTCCACGAGAGGGTGCAGCAGTTCAACAAAATCCCATCTAAAGCAGACGAGCCTGTCCCCACTGTGGGCATATTTTGATTAATTTAATGTATTAATTTTTGTATTTACACGAACTTCCAAATAGGATGGGTGCTTCAGCAAATCAGTTCCATGTCCCAGAGTGTCCCTCCAGTCTGGTACTTTTTGGTGCCCAGTGTTACCTGGTCTCAGTCTATGCCTGATTCCCTGCAAATCCTACAGCAAGCATTTTAAAAATAAATGTAGGGATTTTAAAAATAAGTGTAGGGATTTTAAAAATATTATTGTTTTAGTTTGGAAATCATCATTAATTTCCCCCTCAGACTGATCCAGCTGCAGAAGGAAACTCCATCTATCTGGAGAAACTGCTGACCTGAGTGTGAGTGACAGAACAGAAAGAGAAAAAAGCTCTGTGCCAACTGATTTCTTGTTCCATGAGACAGTCAGGAGCTCAGGAGTGACCCAGCCCTGGCTGTGCTGACATCCTGAAAGCACAGAGGTGGTGTCTGCCCATGGCCAAGGGTCAGGGTCCATTCCTCTGCCTGGGGCACTAAAATACCTCTGCTGAAATGATTAACTCCTGACAAATTTGCCCACCTTGGAAGCATGTGTTCCCTGTCCAAATTCATCTATCCTAAACCGCTTCCTGAGATAAGATTACCTGATAGTGAAATAGAGGTGTGCTGATACTCATGTATAATACATGACTGATAAATGCTGTTTTCACCAGACTTGATATTCAGTAGGACAAACAATTTGCTGTGCTTTCAGAACTTTTTATTACTAGTACAAGATGTTAAAAGAGGGGGAATTTGAGACCAAAGAAATTACTTTGGTTACTGCCAGCTGCAAATGCAAAAGTTGGGTCTGAATTCAGATGGTTTCACTGATTAATTGGAACCACTCTAGTTTTGGGACTTTTCTTTTGAGCAGTGTAAAAAAGAAAAATATGAGGTTTACTAAAAAATCCCCAACACACAGTGAATATGTAACCAGCAAGAAAATTTTTATTTTAAAGTCCATCACCACCTTCTTCCATTGACCTGCTCTAGATTATCATGTATAAACAGATAAGGTCTGGAGATTAATAGAATGAATGAACAGAACGAAATGAATGAATAGAAATTCCTTAATAAATTAATTTAATGAATAGGGAATTTCATCTTGGCATGTTTGTTTAGACTGTGACATTTCTGCCTTGTCCTGAGGGTGGAGCAGAGCAGGTGGAGCCCAGCAGGTGTCAGTCCAGCCAAGGCTTCCTGAGCACAGCTGAATGAACCTCTGCTGCCCTCCTGGCCCTTCCTTCCATCAGTGAAACCTGGCTGGCCTCATTTCCCCGTCACAGAGGCACAGCCCGAGCTTCCTCTGTCCCTCCTGTTAACTTTTAATAAATGTCTGCATCGCTGACCTTTCCTTCCCTGAGTGCTCACCTCCCCTGGCTGGCTGGTGAAGGGTAGAGCTTGGGGTGATGTTTGCAGGGGATTAGCATTTGCCATCAAGCCTTGGGATGGAAAAGCACAAGGCCAGGCATTGGGAGCTGCCCTGAGGAGAAGAATTTGGGAGCTCCACGTGACCTGGCCTGGCCCATGCCCTGGTGGGAATGAGGTGAGATTTAAGGTCTTTGCCACCCAAACCATTCTGTGATCCCTTTGTTAGTTGTCAGCACGGTGCTGTTTGTTGCCTTGTGTGAAACACTGGAAAGGACAATGAATTTTCCTGTGCTGGGATGTGTTCTAGGAAGTGAAGAATGTTCATTGTGCAAGAGTTGAGGTGGAAAAGGAGTTCTGTCATTAGAAAAAAATGTGTTGGAGCTTGAGAGCTTTGTTGTTTATCACAAACATTTAAGTCAGATGTTTCCCCTCTTTTCATCAGCGAATCCAAGAGTGCATACTGATTATCCTGTATTTGCAAGTCAGAGTTGTAAATTGCTGTATTCAGCTGGGGCCGTTTACCATCTGAAAGAAATAATTAAAGCTTTCTTTCTTTTGCTTAAGATTTAAACATGTATTTAAAGATGAGATCATGCTTTCATGGTGGTCAGAGTTTCTTTCTATATTTGTGTGGAGTGGCCTCAGAAATGGGTGTCCGAGGGTCTGGTGTGCTGTGTTTCCTTAATTATATATTTGTTTGGGGAAAGATGGTTATTCCAGCCTCTGTCTTTGCCTGGTTCCATCCTCCCAGCCCCAGTGCAGTGGAGCTGTGCCCACCCCAGAGTGCAGATCAGCCATATGTGCCTCTTATTTATAGCTCATGCGTGAAGGGAGCTATTCCAAAGTGGTAATTTCTGTTCTGGTGGTGGCACATAAATACAAGTGTGTGTGAGCAGCTCCTTCTCCCTGAACGAGGATGTGACACATCCCAGTCACCCTGCCTGGGAATGCTCCAGTCCAGACAGACTGGGAGGCTCTGTCTGATGCTTCAGACACTCAAGAGCTCAATTAATTTATGGATGATAATTTGTCTTCAGCTCCTGCAGATACAGATGCCACCTTTACTCAGTCTCTCTTGAGTCATTCTCTCTCCAACTGCACTGGAGAGGGACTATATACAAGGATGTGGAGGGACAGGGCAAGGGGGAATGGCTTCAAACTGACAAAGAATAGGTTTAGATTGGACAAAATTCTCCCCTCTGAGGGTGGGGAGGCCCTGGCACAGAGAATCTGTGGCTGCCCCATCTCTGGAAGTCCAAGGCCAGGTTGGATGGGGCTTGGAGCAGCCTGGGACAGTGGAAGGTGGGACTGGATGGGTTTTAAGGTCCATCCCAACCCCAAAAAGTCTGTGATTCTATGGAGCAACATTTCTGTAATTTGTTGGGGAAATGCCATATCCTACCTGCACTGTAAATGCAGCTGTGCAATATTTTCCACCTGTGCTGTACACTTTGTGCCACCTTAACACAAGTTTCCTTCCAGCTGCCTTTGTTTTCTGTATGCGTAATTTCACAAAGTCATTGGGCACAAGGAATGAAAGACTGGCTTTAGGAAGAAAACAAGAACACGAATTGTGGAAACCAGGAGTGGTTTGGGATGGGAGGACCTTAAAGCTCATCTTGGTCCAGCCCCTTCCAGACACCTTCCAAAGGTCAGGTTGCTCCAAGCCCTGTCCAGCCTGGCTTTGGACATTTCCAGGGGCAGGGAGTCACAGCCTCCCCGGGCAGATGATACAATAGGTGTTCCATCAACACGTTCTGAAGTTATTGCCTCCTTTACAAGTTATCCGGCTGTTATTCGTGCTGTGGATGCATCGGTTGTGGTTGGTGTCCGTGTGAACTGCTGGCCGTGCCCTGCTGGGGTTTCTCCGGGAGCAGGCAGTGATTCAGCAGGGAAGCATGCCAGGCCGGCACGGACAGCTGAACCGGCCGTGCTCCCGCACACGTACGGCCAGACGGTGACAGCACACGGGCACGGCTGGGACAAAGGGAGGCGAGCTGCTCTTAACCAATCCCACCTAGCAAACACTCCGTCAACAAACAATAGCTGCCTCCAGTGCGTTATCACAGCATGCCTGGGGTTCGGAAGGGACCTTAAAACCAATCTCATTCCACCGCCCTGCCTCGGGCACGGACAGCTTCTGCAGACCAGGTTGCTCCAAACCCCGTCCAGCCTGGCCTTGAGCATTTCCCGGGCTGGGACACACAGCCTCTCCGGGAAACCTGTTCCACTCCCCGCTCGCTTTTCCGCAGTGTGTCACCGGCAGGAGCACAGCCCCGATGGGGGCAGCGCCGTGCCAGGGGCTGCGTGTGGGTGCACCGAGTGAGTCAGGGTGACTTTGTTCCGGGACGGGCTCCCTGTTTGTCTCTTACTCATTAATTAGCGCGGCTGGAGCCGCTCGCACCGAGAGCTGGGCGGTGCGGGGAGGCTCAGGGTGCCGTGCTTGCCATCCGTGAGGACGGCGTGTTCCTCCGTGCTGCGTGACTGGAGCGCCCGGGCTGACACGGCTCATTCCCGGCTCGTTCCCGGCGCGTTCCCGGCCCGTCCCCGGCTCGCGTGCGAGCCCCACGCACGCAGCGCCGTGCTCGGGGACATGGCTCCCTCCCCGCCGCCCGAAACGAAACGCTCGGTGCGTGATAAATGAAACGCGAAGGGGCCTCTTGCCCTATCGCTCTTGGGAACGGCCTCGGGCGGCGCTTTCGGTTCTGGCCGCTGACACCGGCGCGGGGCGTGCTGCAGCCCGGCCGGCGCCGCGGGGGGACCGGCCCCGAGGGCGGAGAGCCGGCCCCGAGGGCGGGGAACCGGCCCTACCCGCCCGTGCTCCGCCCCGGCCGCGCTGCCCTCGCGGCTGCCGTGGCAGCGCTATTTAAACGGGCGGCACGGCGAGCCGGAGGAGCCGGGCGAGGCGGGGTGGGATGTGCGGGCGGCTGCGGCCCTCGGTGCGGACACGGCGGGGCTGACCCCGCACCGGCCGCGGTCACGGTGTCCCGGCACCGCCCGCCGTGTTTATTGCAGCTTCCCCCTCCCCATCAGAAAGTGATTTCGCTCTGGAGTTACCCTGGATTTGGGTCAGCAGGCGGGAGCAGCGCCGAGGGAGCCCGCGCCGGTAGGTCCCAGCTGCGCTGGGCTGGCTGCCCGGCAGCTCCGCCGTCCTCAGGGTCTGTGTCTGGGCCGCTCGTCCATTGTTCGTTGTTGAAACGTGTCTCACGGCCGGCGGAGCGGCTTTCTTTGCAGAGGAGGCGCGGCTCGCGTGCGATGGCAGCGCTCGGGGAGCGAAGCCCCCGGCGGGAGAGCGGCGGCTGCGGGAGCATCGCTGCGGGAGCGCCGGCAGAGCCCGAGCCTCGTCCTTCCTGCCGCTTTATTTTTAGAGCCGTTGGGGGATCCGGCTCTGCTCGCTGAGGCACTTCTGTAAAAATAGCCAAACTTAAATGCTGGTCGAGTGAGGAGTATGAGTGTTGAAATAGCAGCAAAGGTATGGCTGGAGGAGATCAGAAGTCACTTGCTCAGCACCTTGGCGCTGCAGGGGTCCTTGAGCCCTGGCGGATCCTCTCGCTCCTCGCCCGGGCACTGAGACCTGGGCTGCCACAACGGGAACATCTCATTCTCTTCGGAGCCGAGGATATTTTAAACCTTTGGAGTTACCTGAAGGTGCCTTTGGTGGTTTGGAGGAATTGTCTGGTGTCTGTGGAAGAATAACAGATACACCGATGACTTTGGGGTTAGCTGCCAAACAGATATACCAGTTGCTTTAAATTTAATCTAAAAATGGGAAAACTGGAGAGGCACAACTTTTTTTTCTTTTTCCTGGCAATTCTGACGTGCTGTTTCCCAGGGAAATGGAAAAGCCTTATAAATGAATGTTCCAAAATACAGAAGGCTCGATGAGAAATTTTCCGGAGCGAATCATCAGTAGTAAGAGATTATTGCCAAGTTTTCTCTGTTTTTTGGAATTTTGTTTTGAAGCGAGGAGTAACTTTGCTCGGAATGCATTTATCCAGGAAGTAATCCTTAATGTGCTCCACTCTGAGCATTGAGCCTGCATGTGAGATTGAAGAAGGTTTAATTAAATGTAATCAAATATTACAGGATTCCTGATTAAAAGGCATAGCACTTGCTTTTTGGTGACGTGCGCGACACACTGCTTATTTGCGCTTTAAAATAATACAATTCTGCAGCTTGCGAGTAATGCCTTTCTCGGTTCCCGAGTAACCATCCCCCTTCTGTTTGCTTCCCTGCCCGCTTTTGATTCCTGGTGCCCGGCGTGGCGAGAGGAGCGCGGTGTGTCACCGCAGGGCAGGGACGGGCACGGTGGCCCCGCCGCAGTCCGTGGGAAGTTTGCCGCGGCTCTCCGCAGCCAGCGGTTCCGCCGGGCCGTGGGAGGTGACACGAGGGAGGACACATGCCAGTGCAATGGGAATGTGTAGGTTTGCTCCTCCGGTGGGAGAGGAAATGCAGCAGGAATGTCTGAAGTGCGGGGGGGGGGGACGTGTCTCATGCTCCTCGGGTCTGTGTGTGAGGGAGGCACAGAAATGAGCGCTGTCATGTTCTCTTTTGTGGGATAGAACGAACCCAAGTGCTCCTGTTTGTTGAACATCCTGACAGGGAGGAGGCGTCGGACCATCCCCCTTTCCTGCCCACCCTCGGGGGACTGCGTGTGCGTGCCGGAGTGTCTCAGAGCCTGCATGTGCGGGGAGAGGAGGAGTGTGGGCTTGGGATTAATTAGCCCGAGTTTAGCTGTTTTCATGCTTTACGTGCCTAAGGGCTACCCGCAGTCACAGCGAGGGGAGGAGTTTGCTCTTGCTGGCTCAAAATCCTCTCCAGGGGTGATCTTGTTCGTGTCAACCATGAGCAATTAGAGAGATTAACCGTCTTGTTTTCCTTTCTGCCCTAGGTTGATTCCTGGGACATTCTGGGACATTTGAAAGTGATTTGGAGAGAGCAAAGTCTGTGTCCGATGGCCACCGAGCCGCAGCCGGCGTGCGTGGTGCCCCAGGCTCCCTGCCCAGCAATGAAGTGCTCTCCTGCAGAGGACTTTTCTCCCCAGGTGAGGCTGGCTGAAAAGATCCCCCCGGTGAAGCCTTGCTTCAAGAAGAAGCAGCAAGTGCAGAAGAGACTGGACACACAGACTCTGCGGGCTCTGCGGCCCATCTTCACCAGCCTGCTGGGAGCCGGGGCCTTGGACAGGGTCTTTGTGCCCCGAGGCCAGCGTGGTGGCCATGGTGACTTATGTGAGCCTGCTGTGAAAAAGACTTTGGACCTCGGTACCTCTTGCCCCCAGGCAGAAAATAACGTGACTGTGCTGATGCCAACAGCTCCAGATGTGCAGGGTCAGCTGCCGGGAGCTCATCCTTCCCCCGGGCATCCTGAGCAGGACGTGCAGTCAGGAGAGCAAGGTTTCTCCCCAGAAACTCCTGGAACTGCTGCTGATAATGGTAATGAATCATTCCAGGATCATCCTTTGCACCCAAGTGCTGGTGATGGCGCAGCTTGTCCTTTGTTCCCTGACAAGGTTCTGGAAAGCTACACATCTGGCTTACTCCAGGAGAACAGCTGTCCAATGCAATACAACTTGACCCCAAGCAATAAATTCAGTGCTGGGATATTCCAGGATAAAAGTGAAGAAGCTTCCCTTGACCTGGTGTTTGAGCTCTTGAACCAGCTGCAGTATCACACCCACCAGGAGGATGGGATTGAAATCTGTGTGGATTTTCTCCAGGGCACTTGTGTTTATGGCAGTGACTGTCCCAAGCATCACACAGTGTTACCCTATCACTGGCAGGTGAGGAGGACAGCAACCCAGAGGTGGCAAAGTGTGACCAACGATTCCCAGGAGCACCTGGAAAGGCTTTACTGCAACCCTGACAATGACAAGATCAAAGTCAAGTACGGGTAGGTAATTCAATGTACTCCCTTGCTGGGAAGGGTGCAGAAATATAGCAGGATGTGCCTTTTTTTCCCTGATACTTGTATCCAAGTGTGTTAGAAACTCTGGCATGATGTTTCTTGATTCATATCCAACAAGTTTAACTGGACAAAAAAATTTTGTACACTTGTAAAACTGTTATTTAGCATCTGGAATGTGTCCTTTGAAGCTGGAGGACTTGGAGTGTGTGAAATAAGAAAACTTCAGCTCTGTAGGAATTCAGAGACTGTTGTGGAATGCTGTGCTTGTTCTTGGCATTCCTAATTAGTCTTTCCTCTGAGTTGGACAAAGTGTCAGCACGAAAGCCTTGGCAGCGCTGGGGACAGGGATGACAGAGCAGTTGCTCTGTGTCTGTGAGCTCAGCCTGGTGTGCACTCCCAGCACAGCCTGCATCATTCCATCCCAAACAGCTGAACCAGAGGGGAGCTCTGCAGGGCCCTGGGAAGTGTCATATCACTGGCAGTCAGTGGGGATGTTCCAGCTGATTCCCTGTGAGCAGCCTGAGCCGTCAGAAATGCTGATCATCTCCACTATTAAAGCAGTTATTGAAGTTATTGTTTTCTCTGCACAGAGCTTGTTTATTGACTCATTTTCTGAAATTAGCCAACAGCTGTTAGGTGGATGTGGTTGTGTGACCTGTGTGGGCTCCTGCACCCCGAGAGCTAAAACTTCTTCAGCTTCTCCCTGCAGGTTCCAGTTTGAGGAGCAGTGGGGAAGAGTGATGTTTGCAGGGTCCAGCTAGTGCAGGGTGCAGACTGGTTTGGTTTTGGTTTTTTTTTTTGGAGGAAGTGTGTGGTGCACCTCGTGGCAGGGCAGATAAGAGAGGAGAAGTTTGCCAGGCTGGCACAACCCCAGTTCAAAGTGACATTTCTGGAGTGAAAACTTCACACTGCCTTTTCCACCTGAATGCCTGGGGGTTCTGCTCTCTGCCTCTTCTTCTTTTCAGTTCCTGAAGAAAATATATCCCTCCTTTCTCAATATTTAATTTTCATTTATTAAGCTGAGGTTTCTCATTTGGCACCAGATCAAATCTAGCGCTTAGAGTCAGCCTGAGTCTTTACTTTCACTTAATTTGATGTTGGATTAGACACTGAATTCAATCTTTGTCATAGATTCACACTGGTTTTGGTTGAAGGGACCTTAAATCCCACCCAGTGCCACCCCTGCCATGGCAGGGACACCTCCCACTGTCCCAGGCTGCTCCAGCCCCAGTGTCCAGCCTGGCCTTGGGCACTGCCAGGGATCCAGGGGCACCTGCCAGGGCCTTTTTAATGATGGCAGTATCAAAATATGGATGTCCCATACTGAAAATGAAAATGAAGTAGGATATGTAGTAGGGAACAACTACCTTTTATAGAATTGTCTTGAAGAAACATGCCAGTCTTTAATGAAAATTTAAAAATCTTCTAAGTGCATAGCAGATACAATTTGCTGTATTTTACCACAGAGGAACTTCTATTTCCCAAGTGTTAGAAATGATTTCTGAAAACAAAACAGCACAGCCAGAGACAAGGCCATTAAATGATTTAACTTTGAATTCTGTGTAAATGAGCAAATGGTTTTCTTTTAGAAGTTGTGTCACCAAATCCATCAGTGCACGTGAGCAGTGTCCTGAAGGATGGACATGGGAATGATTAATGGCAAAGGACACAGTGCTTGGTCATGGCTTAGTCAGCCCGGGCTGGGAAGCTGCTGTGCAGTGACATCCCCTTGCACTGGGTGTGCAGGTCCCAGCCTGCTGGGGCTGGTGGCACATGCATTTCTGCCTGTCTGATCCAGCTGGGGACAGGGTGGCAGGTGTGTGCCAGGGACAGGACGTTCCCTGAGCGTCAGGGAAGGGACAGGAGCAGCGTGGGCTGGGCACAGCCGGGTGGGACACTGCCCTCGGGGCCTGGGGATGCAGCCCTGGCCTTGCTGGGCTGAGTGGGTCCTGCCAAACTGCAGATTTACACTGGATGTTGGGGAGAAATTCCTCCCTGGAGGGTGAGCAAGCCCTGGCACAGGGTGCCCAGGGAAGATGTGGCTGCTCCTGGATCCCTGGCAGTGCCCAAGGCCAGGCTGGACAGGGCTTGGAGCAGCCTGGGACAGTGGGAGGTGTCCCTGCCAGGACAGGGATGGAATCAGCTGATCTTTAAGATCCCTTCCAACCTTGGAAGAGCTTCACGGCTGGATCTGTGTCAGTGAGACCTTTGGAGTGAAGCTCTATTGAAGACCAGAGCTTCTGATTTCAAACTTTGAGTCTGGCCCTCCTTGGAACTTTGACTTGCCAAGGTTTTAAGCCAGGTTTTGAGGTGGGAGGTCAGTGTTTCAGTGTGCATCATCCACCAGCTTCTTCTTATGCAACATCACCTCGTGAGGAGAACCTGCCAAGGTGTGGGGAGCCCCAGCTCCCTGGGGGTCACTCAGGCTGGAGGTGGCAGTGTCCCTGTGCTGTGTCCCCTGGCAGTGGGGGCCAGGAGCTGTGACCCCGCCAGCGCCGCGTCCCATGGTTACAGCATTATTTGTTAAAGCCATTAATCTGCCGTGGTCAGACGAGCTTTGCAGGCCTGTCTGCTCCCTGGCAGCCAGAGGAAACGCCTGCTCAGCACTCTGCTGGCCAGCCAGGCTGCTGTTTGTCCTGCTCTGTGTCCCACACGCTCTGGGATTGGAATGATCCTGGCACCGGCGCTGCCCCCAGGGAGCTGGGCCCTTCCAGAAAGTGTTGGCCATCAGCTCAATTAGGGAATGAGCTCTAAATTAGGGTGTTCTTCAAAGAGCTATTTATATAAACCTTCCTTCCTCTTAATTATTGGGATGAGTAATGATGGAGATAAGTTATTGAGATGAGTAATGTAAAATACACATTAAGTTGTTGCCTCTCACCTAAGGGAATGTGATCTCAGAGGAGTGGTAAACCTTGTTTAGTTACTTTGTAATGCAACTCCTTCGGCTGCTTCTTGCAGTTTGGCCTCAAACTAGAATCATAAATTACTTATGTGGGTTTTTTTGTATTCTTGAGTCTGCCAAGTATGTCGAGCCACATACCAAGCTATCTAAACAAATGGGGGAACATCAACTTAAACAGGTTAAAGTACTTAGAAGCACTCAGTTTTCTTCATAGATGTGAGGAGAGGCCCTGGGAGAAGTTCCAGCTTTCAGCAAAGAGAGAGCAGTGCCAAGTGCTGCTTTCCAGCAGGAGATGCCCACGTTGGGATATTTTAAGATGCTCTTTGCTAAGGGGAAATACTTGGCTGAGCGGCTGAGCAGGTTTCCCCACACACACACACCTGTCCTATCATGCACACATTGCTTTTCAAAACAAGCAGCAGCAGTAGAGATTACAGGAGGATTTGTTTGAAACAACTCTGCAGTTCCTGACCCAACAGTTCCCTGCTTTGGCTGAAAATTCCTCTCTTCCTCTTGGCAAAAAGGGCTCCCAACTCGACTGACACAGCAGCTTCTTGCCGTTGCTGTGATTTCTTTCCTTTTTCTTTCTTTTTTCCCGTAATTTCTGTAATTTTATGGAATGGCTCCTTGTAGCTAGGAGAGGAGAATGGAGTGGCTGCAGTGAGGGAAGGGCAGGTGGCTCTGCAGTGGTACATGTCCTGCTGTTCTCCCTGTGCTCACTCCTGGCCCTTGGGTGAAGTCAGTAAATGACAGGACACGAGGGAACTCAAGCTGTCCTGGGAAGGTTCAGCTCAGATATCAGCAGGAATTTCTCCGTGGGAAGGGTGGTCAGGCACAGGAAGGGTCTGTCCAGGGAGGTTGGAGTGCCCATCCCTGGGGGTGTCCAAGGAATTCCTGGACGTGTCACTCAGTGCTCCGGGCTGGGCTGGACTCGGTGTTCTTGGAGGGCTTTTCCAACCTCAACGATTGCCTGACTCGAAATACAGAGTGTTCCACTGGAGTTATCAGGGACATGTGAAGGGACTGGGAAGGAGAGGCATGGACACAACAAAATGTACAGGAAACTGGTTTTCCTTCATTCCTCTGTGTGTGGGATGGCTGCTTCTCTGGTGCTGACAGAATGTGCCTGACGTGTTAAAATCATACAGAGCACGGTGGAGGCATTTCAGGATGGAATCATGGAACCACTGAGTGCTTTGGCTGGAAAAGACCTTAAAGCCCAGCCAGTGCCACCCCTGCCCTGGCAGGGACACCTTCCACTGTCCCAGGCTGCTCCAAGCCCCGTCCAGCCTGGCCTGGGACACTTCCAGGGCTGGGGCAGAGCTCCTGGCCCATCAAACAGTTAAATTTCAGAAGTTTTCTGTGTGATCCACACAGTGCCACAGTGTGTGAGATAAGGCGTGTGTTAGTGATAACAGGGAGATGGGAAACCAGCTGAGAGTCCCTCTGCGTGAGTTTGGGGGAGGTTCTTGGCTATACCCTCTGAGTGGCTGGGAGCTGCTTTTCATTCCTTTCCAGCAGGAATGCAAGGCAGAGCCTCGAATGAAAGTCCTGTGAAGTGATTTTGGAAGTGTTTGCCGTGTGCTGTGTGGGTTCCCTTTTGCTGCACCGTGCAGCACCATTTCCATATGAAACGGAGCTAATTGGCTTCTAGCTGTACAAAGGCAGGGAGGCCCTGAGCTGTGAGGAGCCGGCAATCACTGCCATCCCTGCTCTCCTTTCCTGTCGATAAACAGATTGCACTTTGGGGAACAGCTGTCACCTGGCTGCAGGCTGAGGTCAGGCTGCTCCTGCCGATAAAGCAGCCCCTCCTGACACAAAGATCAGGGCTTGCTCCCAGGTAGGGCAGCAGGACGGTGCTGTGACAGGACTGCCCTGCCAGGACCCAGGGGACACAGAGGGCTGTGACAGCGTTTGGCTCAGCAGGAGCAGGGATCAGGAGGTTTCTTCCAGCTGGGTGCTCAGAGCTGTTGAAATCAGGAGGGATGAGTAATAATTGGGAATCTGATTCCTGTAGTCACATGTACACAGGAGAGGTTTCTTTGGGGGAAGTTGGTTTTGGAAGGTGTGGTGGGGAACATTCATTTTTAGGAAAAGCCTGGAATGACAGGACAAGGGGAATGAATTTCCACTGCCAGAAGGCAGAGATAGGTGGGGCATTGGAAAGGAATTCCTCCCTGAGCCGGTGGGCAGGCCCTGGCACAGGGTGCCCAGAGCAGCTGGGGCTGCCCCTGGATCCCTGGCAGTGCCCAAGGCCAGGCTGGAGCAGCTGGGACAGTGGGAGGTGTCCCAGGGGTGGCACCGGGTGAGCTTTAGGGTCCCTGCCTTTACCAGCTCTGCAGCCACTCAGAGCTGGGCTTGTGCTCCTCTAAAACTAAATAGTTTAGGTTGGAAAGGACCCTTAAAGGTCATCGAGCCCCACCCCTGCCAGGAGCATCTTCTACCGATTTACCAATGAAACAAACCAAGCCCTCCCAAACACATCCCGAGCAGCTCAGAGCCCCTGGAGCCCAGCAAGCACAGGACACTCTTTGTGCTGCCCTGCAAACACGAGGTGCAGCTGGGGCTGGAATTAGGAAATAGGGTGCCTGTGCAATCCTTGGGAGAGGGGGATGTGTTCAACATCCTCATTGCTGTGGAGTTTGAGAACTTTCCCGTGCCTACACCCCAGGCCCCCCTGGCCCAGGCCCTCGTGTTCAGGAGTGGGTTCTTGGGAAGAACAAACAGCTTCTGGAACAGTCTCTTCTCCTCCAGCAGCCCTGCCTCAAGGACTTCCTGATCCAGAGCTGGGGGGCTACTTTTATTAGTATTATTATTATTATTGCTATTATTGTTTTTATTTTCCCTGCCAGGCATTCATCTGTACATTAAGCTGTACATATACACACACACACATACATATGTGTGTCAGCAGTTGGTTCAGGTTTACAAGCTGGCCCCCCTGGCTGTAGAAATTCCAGAAGATTGCTTTTGCAAGCACCCCAGTCACCAGTTGTAAAGGCAGGGAAACATCCAGAGCTGGGGGGCTACTATTATTATTATTATTATTATTATTGCTATTATTGTTTTTATTTTCCCTGCCAGGCGTACATTAAGCTGTACATATACACACACACACATACATATGTGTGTCAGCAGTTGGTTCAGGTTTACAAGCTGGCCCCCCTGGCTGTAGAAATTCCAGAAGATTGCTTTTGCAAGCACCCCAGTCACCAGTTGTAAAGGCAGGGAAAAACAGTCTTTCCAGCTTTTAAGAAATAAACACAGGAAAAGCAGCAAAGTCACTGGTTTTGGGTTCTTTTGTCCCCTGAGGACGGAGCCTTTAAGCTGAGAGGGAAATGTGTCTGCAGCATCTTTCCCCAGCCTGAGGTGTCACCTCCCACGTGGCCCACGGTCACCACAGAGAGCAGCATGACTTGATGAGAGGGCAAGTGCAGCAAAATCTGAAACTCACGTGCTGCCCTGGCACTGGTGCCCCTCTCTGGGGTTTGAAGGAGGCACTGATAAGATCAGGCTCAGATGGGTTGTTTGTGCTCTTGCCTTGCTGCAGAGGTTCCTGTGTGCCTGGCACAGTCCTGGTTCCTGCTGTGCTCCCACTGCTGTGTTGGGAAGAGCTGCTGATGAGCATGCCTTGGGAGTGTTCCCTGGCCTTTCCTCCTGCTGGGCCTTTCCCTGGCAGCACATTTGGCTCTGCTGTCTGAGCTCTGCTGTTGCCATTTCAGTACCTGTGCTTCCACGTGAAATTCTTGGTTGGGTGCCCAGCCCTGGCACAGGCTGCCTGGTGGAGTCCCATCCCTGGAGGTTTAACAGCCCTGGGCATGTGGCACTTGGGGACGTGGGCCAGGGGTGGCCTTGGCAGTGCTGGGCACAGTTAGACTTGATGGTCTGCAGGAGCTTTTCCAATTTAACCAAATCTGTGATTTCTCTGATCTTTTGAAGCCAGCATCCTTCAAGTGACGTTCGGTTTCGTGCAGGAGTTCAAACACTCAGCCCCCCACCCAAAGCTGGGCTCATCTGTGGGAGAGCCCTTCCCCTGCAGCTTCCACCCAGTGCACAAACCAGATAAGATCTGCTGCCTTGGTGTCACCAGCAAGTGTCAGTGCCTGCCTTGCCTCTGCAGTGGCTGAGCTCAGCGTGGCTCCCCCAGCCCCGAGTACAAAAGCTTCTCGTGCCCCTTGGGCTCTTTGAAGCCCTGAGGTCCGGGGCCCGCCAGGTTGTTGCTGTGCAGGGAGGAACTGGTTGAGTCAGAGAGAGAAGATCAGCAGTTTCAGCAGGCAGGGAGCCGGGCTGTGAGCCGTGCTGTGTCTCACAGCTGTTCTGCTGGGAGCAGCTCTCGTTTCCTGCCGGGCCCTGCTGCTCGCAGCGGTTCTGTTTTTCTGAACCTGTTTGCGGTAACTCGGAGAGGAGCTCGAAGCACACGCGCGGTTTCAGAGCGCTTACAGACCGATTTCTCTGCTCGTCTCTTCGTACGTGATCGTGACCGTGACGTCTAGAGAGCGTTTGTCCTGCTGAAGGGAAAGAGCTCGGGGGATTCACTCACTGGGCTGGAGTTCTGCAGAAGGATGGAAGGAAGAGCCTAAATATCCTTATTTTGGCTGCACCAATCTGGAAACAATCTATCAGTGTTAAAACCTGCCAGTCAAGGAACCTGCTCAGTCCAGCGTCCTGCAAAGTTTACACCTTCTGTTATTTCTTACATTTAGGGAACAGAGAAAATGAAACTTATTACTGGGGTCACATTCTGCTGTTGAGAGCTCGTGGAGTTTTATTTTGCATTGTGCTGTTCTACAGCACCAAATTTGGGTTGTGTGCCCTGTTCTTGTGAGAGTTCAACGTGCTCACTCTCTCTGTGCAAACAGTTCCACTGAACTGCTTTATTTTATAAATAGAGACCTTTATTTGGTGAGTTGGTGAGGAGAAATTCTTGAGAAATCTGTTCTCACCTCTCCAGTCTCTGTGGGACCTTTAACAAGGGCACTTAGTGCCAGGACAAGGGGAATGGCTGTAAAGTGCCTGGGGGCTGGGCTGGATGGGATATTGGGCAGGAATTGTTCCTTGGCAGGGTGGGCAGGCCCTGGCACAGGTGCCCAGAGCAGCTGTGGCTGCCCCTGGATCCCTGGCAGTGCCCAAGGCCAGGCTGGACACTGGGGCTGCAGCAGCCTGGGACAGTGGGAGGTGTCCCAGGGGTGGCACTGGGTGGGATTTAGGCTCTCTCCCAGCCCAAACCATTCCAGGATTCTACACCTCAGACAGCTGCTGGGTTTGAGGCTTTGTCCCCCTGTGCTGAAAACCATGTGTTTAATAGCATACAGAAGGTGAGAGTTGTCTGTTTCTCCCGTTTTCCCCAGGGGCCAGGAGTGCTGGGTGGATCTGAACCTTATGAAATTTTATGAAAGCGCAGATTTCGACCAAATGCGGCGCCTGTCCACAGCCTCGTGCCCCAGCTCCAGCTCCAACTGCTACACGGTGTGGAAGTACTTCTGCAGGGACCACTTTGGCTGGAGAGAGTACTCCGAGGTACGGCCCCTTCCCAGTCCTGCTGCTGGGCCCCAGCCCGACACGCTGCACTCATCCATGTTCAGCCTGGGAGGGGATTTGGGGTTCCTCTGAGGAGGAGGAGAGTCAGTGTTGAACTGAGAAAGAGTGAAGGGACAGCTCTGCTGGCCTGGGCTGTGATTCTGTGATCCTGTGGCTAGAATTACCCTGAAAGCATCACAGACGTGAGGGCTGGCCAGGCTGTCCCTCTGGGGAGCAAACCAGCTTGTGGCAGTACCAGGGAAGCCCTTCTGGAGCCTGATTTGGTTTTATGACAGTGGGACAGCTTCTGCAGCCTTCAGAACAGCAGCTCCATTTACCTTGGCAGTTTTTAATTGATTTCCCTGTCCCAGAGCTCTGCTGAGGCAGGACATGCACTGCCCGAGCTGTGGGGTGCAGCCCTTGGGCTGATGTTTGGAGTGAAACCTCGTCAGTGCTGGCAGTGCCAGAAATAATCCCCGAGTGTAAGACCTGCAGAGAGTTGGGCACAACTCTCAAATACCACAAATAACACAGTCAGGGTGTTGGAGCTGGGAGGAGAACTGGATTTGTGCAGTGTGGAACAGGAATATGAATTTTGGAGCCTGTGGTTTCTCATGTGTGGTTTCTCATATTTCCCTTCCCTGTTTTCGCCCCGTTTCTGCCCCGTTTTTCCCCCCCGTTTCCCCCACCACTATTTTCTCCCCCATTTTCCTCTGGTTTTCCCCCTGGTTTTTCCCCTGTTTCCTTCCCATTTTTTCCCGGTTCCCCCTGCTGTTTTTCCCCATTTCCTCCCCCATTTTTCCCCTTTTTTCTCCCTTTCCCCCCTGTTTTTCCCCCCTTTTTTCTCCCTTTCCCCCCATTTCCCCCCTGTTTTTCCCCCTTTTCCCCCCGTTTCTCCCATTTCCCCATCCAGCCCGTGGTGAGGCTGATCGAGGAGGCGAGCTGCCGCGGGCTGCGCGAGGTGCGCTTCATCACCTGGCACAACCAGTACATCCTCAACATCAAGGATGGCTTCCAGCAGAACTCCTGCTTCCGCAGGGAGATCAAGAGGAGGCCCCTGCTGCGCTCCTGCCTGCTGCTCATGCCCTTCCTGCAGTAGGTATCCCCCAGTTTTTGGGAAAGGGTGTTCCCACTGCCTTTCCTGCAGTAGGTAACCCCAAAATTGGGCCATTCCCAGTGCCCTTCCTGCAGTAGGGATCCCCAAAAACTGGCTGTTCTCAGTGTCCTTCCTGCAGTAGGTAGCCCCCAGTTTTTGGGAAAGGGTGTTCCCACTGCCTTTCCTGCAGTAGGTAACCCCAAAATTGGGCCATTCCCAGTGCCCTTCCTGCAGTAGGGATCCCCAAAAACTGGCTGTTCTCAGTGTCCTTCCTGCAGTAGGTAGCCCCCAGTTTTTGGGAAAGGGTGTTCCCACTGCCTTTCCTGCAGTAGGTAACCCCAAAATTGGGCCATTCCCAGTGCCCTTCCTGCAGTAGGGATCCCCAAAAACTGGCTGTTCTCAGTGTCCTTCCTGCAGTAGGTAGCCCCCAGTTTTTGGGAAAGGGTGTTCCCACTGCCTTTCCTGCAGTAGGTAACCCCAAAATTGGGCCATTCCCAGTGCCCTTCCTGCAGTAGGGATCCCCAAAAACTGGCTGTTCTCAGTGTCCTTCCTGCAGTAGGTAGCCCCCAGTTTTTGGGAAAGGGTGTTCCCACTGCCTTTCCTGCAGTAGGTAACCCCAAAATTGGGCCATTCCCAGTGCCCTTCCTGCAGTAGGGATCCCCAAAAACTGGCTGTTCTCAGTGTCCTTCCTGCAGTAGGTAGCCCCCAGTTTTTGGGAAAGGGTGTTCCCACTGCCTTTCCTGCAGTAGGTAACCCCAAAATTGGGCCATTCCCAGTGCCCTTCCTGCAGTAGGGATCCCCAAAAACTGGCTGTTCTCAGTGTCCTTCCTGCAGTAGGTAGCCCCCAGTTTTTGGGAAAGGGTGTTCCCACTGCCTTTCCTGCAGTAGGTAACCCCAAAATTGGGCCATTCCCAGTGCCCTTCCTGCAGTAGGGATCCCCAAAAACTGGCTGTTCTCAGTGTCCTTCCTGCAGTAGGTAGCCCCCAGTTTTTGGGAAAGGGTGTTCCCACTGCCTTTCCTGCAGTAGGTAACCCCAAAATTGGGCCATTCCCAGTGCCCTTCCTGCAGTAGGGATCCCCAAAAACTGGCTGTTCTCAGTGTCCTTCCTGCAGTAGGTAGCCCCCAGTTTTTGGGAAAGGGTGTTCCCACTGCCTTTCCTGCAGTAGGTAACCCCAAAATTGGGCCATTCCCAGTGCCCTTCCTGCAGTAGGGATCCCCAAAAACTGGCTGTTCTCAGTGTCCTTCCTGCAGTAGGTAGCCCCCAGTTTTTGGGAAAGGGTGTTCCCACTGCCTTTCCTGCAGTAGGTAACCCCAAAATTGGGCCATTCCCAGTGCCCTTCCTGCAGTAGGGATCCCCAAAAACTGGCTGTTCTCAGTGTCCTTCCTGCAGTAGGTAGCCCCCAGTTTTTGGGAAAGGGTGTTCCCACTGCCTTTCCTGCAGTAGGTAACCCCAAAATTGGGCCATTCCCAGTGCCCTTCCTGCAGTAGGTATCCCCCAGTTTTTGGGAAAGGCTGTTCCCACTGCCCTTCCTGCAGTAGGTAACCCCAAAATTGGGCCATTCCCAGTGCCCTTCCTGCAGTAGGAATTAATTCCCAGCTAATTTTGTTGGGCCTTGAGGGCTCTACACTCGTGAGGGATTGACCAGAACTGTCTGTGGCAGCCACCAAACCTACAGACTAAAATCTGAGCTTCTGTTCTGCACCAAACTTTGTTCTGATTTTATTTATCCAAAGACCTTATAAAGCTCACTTAAAAACATGGATTCTTGGCAGGAACAGGAGTATTTTAAATATTTATGGGATCTATCCTTCAGGAGTCAGTGTTGCCTCCACTTCCCACATGATGCCACCTGAGATTTGTTCTTTCCCTCACCTCCCACCTGCTTAAATCTGTTCTAGAATTGGAAAAGAATCCTTGAAATGTTGACTTTTTTATGGTTTCCCCTGTAGAATAAATAACATGAATATTTTACACGAGTCAGAAGAACTGAACAAAGTACAGCAAAGGATTGCAGGATTTTTATTGGATTTGATTTTTCCTCATTAATCCACAATTTACTGGCAATCTCTGCTTGCTCTTCCGGTCCAGTGTGAGTGATGAGGCCCTACAGGAATGGTTTTTTACCCATTTGCCCATCAAAGAGGAAAATTAAACTAAAAACAAATGCACACTTTGATATTTGATTGCTATTTTATTAGCAATTTGTAGACCATATTTCTGGGTTTTTGCTCAACTGTTAATAACCAGTGAGAAGAACTTGGAGTTGAGTCAAATCCATGCAAATGAAGGGAATCCTGGCCTTGGCCTCGAGCAGGAGGGAACAGCCAGAGAACACTCACAGAGTGTTTCTGCCCTGAAAAGTGGGAGGGCTGTCACAGCTTTCCATGTGTTGATTTAAAAATAGATCTTTTTCCACTAAACTTCCCCTCCCAACGCTTTTCCTTGGGTTTGATTTGGTTTCTGGCCATCTGTGGGCTTTGGAGAGCAGCTCCACCCTGGGCCTGGCAGCAGCCAGTGGCTCTCTCCTGCTGCCTGCCCCGGGGCACTGAAGGGTTGGCAGCTTTTCCCAGAGAAATACTTTGGGAAAATCCTCCTTGCTGGACTTTGGAGCTCGCCCCACGAGTTGCTGCAGCTGCAGGAGCTGTGCTGGTGTGAGCCAGGGCCCTGCAGGTGCCATGGTCCCAGTGTTCCCCTGGGCACAGGAGGGAGAAGCCGGGCAGTGAGGATTCACTCAGCTGAGTAAGGGCTGCTCACTCAGGTGGGATCAGGGAACATAAACCACTTCTCTCAGTTCAGCAGCTCCCAGAGTGTGAGGATTCCACAGAGCTGCAGGAGGGGAGGAGCAGGGTCCTGCTGGGCTGCTTTCCTGGGTTTTCCAAGGGTTTTTTCCTGGCATCCATGGGGCTTCTTGGCCACAGCTCCCTCCCTCAGCCCTGCCTGTTCTCCAGGCAGCATTCCCAGAGGAGGGGCAGGAAAATAACCAGCTGCAAATGCAAATCCACCTCTGGCTGTGTAAATGGCAGTAAGGATCTTCCTGCTTGGGAAGGGGCCTTAAATCCCATCCAGTGCCACCCCCTGCCACAGGCAGACACTTCCCGCTACCCCAGGGTGCTCCAAGCCCTGTCCAACGTGGCCTTGGACACTTCCATGGTTATCAGAGGCTTTTCAGCCCTGCTGGGGGGTGCCTGGAGGCTGCTGAGGGTGTCTGAGCACAGCCTTTGTCCCTCCCCAGGACCCTGGGTGGCAGCTCTGCCGTGCCCTCGCCGTGCCCCGACCCCGCCGCCGCACACGACTTGTCCCCAGCTGCTGTCACCTCTCCCAGCTTCTACCCCGAGACCTGGATTGGAATGGATCCAGCTCAGGACTTCATCCAAGTGCCTGTTCTGAAGGAAGACAAAAGCTACAGAACCATTTACAACCTGTTCCACAAGACTGTGCCGGAGACCAAATACAAGATCTTGAAAATCCTGCGAGTGCAGAACCAGTTCCTTTGGGAGAAGTATAAAAGGTAAGAGAACTGCAGATCTTTAATAACGAATACTCCTAGAGGAGGAATTTTACGAGAGAGATTTGCGTCTCCTCTCACAGCTGAGCTCTTCCAGAGGGTGATCCCGCGATGAAAACAGCTTCTCCCCGGCTGACCCGCGGCGAACGCTCACCTTCACTTCCCATTTTGTGTTCCAGGAAAAAGGAGTACATGTCCAAGAAGATGTCCGGGCTGGACAGGATCATGAACGAGCGGCACCTGTTCCACGGCACGTCGCAGGACGTGGTGGACGGGATCTGCAAGCACAACTTCGACCCGCGCGTGTGCGGCAAGCACGCCACCATGTTCGGCCAGGGCAGCTACTTCGCCAGGAAGGCCAGCTACTCCCACAACTTCTCCAAGCGCTCCCCCAAGGGCGTGCACTTCATGTTCCTGGCCAAGGTGCTCACGGGCAGGTACACGGTGGGCAACCACACCATGAGGAGGCCGCCGCCCGTGGAGCCCGGCAGCATCACCAGCGACCTCTACGACTCCTGCGTGGACAATTACTTCGAGCCCCAGATCTTCGTCATCTTCAACGACGACCAGAGCTACCCCTACTTCATCATCCAGTACGAGGAGGTCAGCAGCACCGTCTGCATCTGACAGCCTGCCACAGACTCGGCTGGCAGAGGTGAAACCTGGACACTTCCTGACTGCTGGAATGACTTGGAAGGAAGGTCGCTGAGGTGACCAACTGTGCACTTGCTGGTTGATTCCCTGTGTGGAAACTGTACATATTTTTCCATTGTTTATAGTTGAAAAATCCGTGCCTTTTGTTATAAAACACTGTTTATTTATGTTAGTAAATATTCATGTTTCAGAATGTGTCTGTGGGTGTCAGTTCAGTGGTGTTCTGTGCCTGGCGAGCCCTGATCTCAACATTTCAGCATGGCCGTTTTTGGGGACTCAGAACCACATTTCATCCCAAGGATATTAAATAAGACATTCCCCCAACCACTATTTCTTATGATCATATTTCAGAGAGACTGAGGGAGAGATCACAAAACTACCCCCTGCTCATACTTTGCATTATTGAACAGGGCAACACAAACAGATCATTTTCTAAAATCGGGTAAAATTAGGAAGAGATTAGCATAGTCTGTGGGGAGGGTTTAAAACCTGGGATGCTTCCCAGCAGGAGCAGGCACACACAGTCTGTCACTTGTTGGTGTCCCTGCCTGTGCAAAGGGGGGTGGTGCAGGATGGGCTCTAAGGTCTCTTCCCTCCCAAACCACTCTGACTCTGTAATTTTCACCTCCAGGCCTGTGGTTTGGATGTACCTGAGGTGCCCTGTCCTCACTGGGACCTTTTCCAGGAATTGTGTGTCCCTCTGAAGGCTCCTGCAGCAGCACAGGTGTGGCTGGAGCCCTCGCTGCCCTCCAGGGAGCTCCTGTGGGGCTCAGGGGATGGGCAGGGACCCTCAGGCTCTGTGTGCTGGGGCTCCCCCCAAACTCAGCTGTGCCTTGTGACAACCTGCTCCAGTCAGCTTCCTAGGGGCTCAGGAAGAGAATTCCTTCCTGGGCCATGGGAGAGAATTCCCTGCTCCCACCAGCACCCCAGTGCTGGTTCCTCTCTGGATCTCCCGCTTGCCTGGGATCAGCTGCAGGTGAGCAGCAGGGCAGGCACCAGCAGCTGGCTCCAGTGACCCCAGTCTGGGAGAGCTCCCACAGGAGGTGGAGACAGCAGCACGGCAGGGTGGGAGCTCCCAGCATGGAGCTGCTCCTGACCACAGCTCACATCCCATGGGATGGCTGCAGAAAGGTACCGGAGCCAGGGAGGGCTGGGGGCTGCCTCAGGACAGCTGAAGTCACCAAAGGGCTGGAGGTGTCCCAGGTGTGGCACTGGGGGGGTCTGCACCGGGGCCGTGGTGGCTCCGGAGTGGAGATTTTGGGTTGATTTCAGAGCCAAAGCCTGGGAATGAGGGCTGCTGTTCCTGTGGGGTTGTGTTGAGTCGTTCCTCGCTCGAGGCTTCTGCCCGGGCTGGGCCTGGCATGAGCAGGATGGAGCGGGAGCTGGGACAGCTGCGAGTGGGGACTCGGTCTCCCCTCCCACTCTCCACAGGCAGGAAATCAGCTGTGCTTTTCCCTGGATGTTGTAATGGGCTTTTGCTTTTCTGGGTCCTTCTCCTCCGCAGCCTGTGCCTGGGGACACTCCCTGGGAGGGGTCTGCCCCAGCCTTCCCTTCCCTTCCCACCTTCCCTGGAGCTGTGGGATGAGGGAGGCGCCGCTGACAATGCACTGAAAATATTTATGGTGTTTCCTTGCCAACGTGCTGAGTGTCTGAGCCACCCTGCAGGGCTGAGCCCCGCCTCGGTGACACGGCCTGATGTCCCCTTCTGGGCCACCTGAGCCTGGCCCCGGGCATGGTCCCGGGGATCCCGGCTGGTCCCGGGACTGGGCACGGCGGGGCCGCAGCCGTGTCCCCGTGTCACTGTCCCGTGTCACTGTCCCGTGTCAGTGCCACCGCAGTGCCCGGCCAGCTGAGCATTGGTGACCCCATTGTCCATGGGGATTTGTGGGATCGCTCCCAGCTCCCTGGGCAGGGGCGCTGGAGCAGCGTGGGGCAGAGCTGGCAGGGGCAGAGCGTGCCCCTAATTACGTTAGTTGTTAATTGCCTCCCGCGTGCGCCGGCCGTGGCACCGTTTGCTGGAGGGACACCTGAGCAGGGCCCTGAGAAATCGCCCGTTCCCAAATCCTGCCCGAGAGGGGCACTGGGACAGGGCTGTGCCAGGGGATGTCCCCGCTCCCGGCTCTGTTTGTGCCGGTGGCACAAGGGCGGGGGTACCCGCGGGATGCTGCGGCAGGGCCCGGCTCCAGCCTGCCGCCGCTGCCGGGCCCCTCTGGCCTGTCCCGGCCCGACCGGCCCTTCTGGGCCCAGCCCTGCTCGTGCCTCCTGCCCTGCTTTCGGGGCTGTCACCTGGGCTGGGAGGATGGCCCGGGTGACAAAGGACGGTTTGCGATAAGGATCTCGCTGTGTCACCGCCGGGGTGACACACCTTGGGGCAAGGCCGGGCTGGGAAAAGCCCATCGGGGACCTGGTGGCCCTGAGGGGGTGGCACCAGTGGTGGCCTGGCCGAGAGGGACCGGCTTGGCTGGCCGGGCCACGAGCCGTGCTTCTGTTCCCGTGGGAGCCCGGGGGTGTGGAGGTACCCCAGGAGCCCGGGGGGCTGAGGGGTCTGGGGGTACCCTGGGGGTTTGAGGGGTCTGGAGGTACCCCGGGGGGCTGAGGGGTCTGGGGGTACCCCAGGAGCCCGGGGGGCTGTGGGTTATGGGGATCCTCAGGGGGCTGTGGGGGTACCCCAGGAGCCCGGGGGGCTGTGGGTTATGGGGATCCTCAGGGGGCTGTGGGGGTGCCCCAGGAGCCCGGGGGGCTGTGGGTTATGGGGATCCTCAGGGGGCTGTGGGGGTACCCCAGGAGCCCGGGGGGCTGTGGGTTATGGGGATCCTCAGGGGGCGTGGGGGTACCCCAGGAGCCCGGGGGGCTGTGGGTTATGGGGATCCTCAGGGGGCTGTGGGGGTACCCCAGGAGCCCGGGGGGCTGTGGGTTATGGGGATCCTCAGGGGGCTGTGGGGGTACCCCAGGAGCCTGGGGGGCTGTGGGTTATGGGGATCCTCAGGGGGCTGTGGGGGTACCCCAGGAGGCTGTGGGTTATGGGGATCCCCAGGGAGCTGTGGGCTGTGGGGGTACCCCACAAGCCCGGGGGCTGAGGAGTCTGGGGGTACCCCGGGGGGCTGTGGGGGTACCCCAGGCACTCGGGGGGCTCTGGTGACTGCCTGGGGACCCTGTGCCTGGGGACTGCCCGGTCAGCGCAGCTCGGGAGGCAGCAGCCGGGGCAGTGACGTGGGTGACAGTGAAGGGTGAGGTCACCCTGCCGCGGTCACCGCCGTGCCTGGGATTTGTCAGGAAACAGCCTGTTCTGGACGGCGGGATAAAGGTGCCCCAGAGGCCGGGAGGAAGGAACAGCCTGAGCAGGAGCTGATTTGGGAGCTGGGCAGAAGGGCAGGAGCTGTTCCTGGAGCAGACTGAAGTGTCAGCTGCCCGAAGGTGCTGGGAACAGCCAGCCTGTCCCCTCTTCCCACCCGGCACAAACGCTGCTCCCGAGGTAGCCACCCTGGCCAGGGGCACCCGCAGGGACCCGGCTGTGTCTGCCCTGCCTGGGGTTTGTTCTGGTCATTCTGGGGCTGCCCAGCTGCGGGATTTCATCAGAGAATGGCCCTGGAGTGGGAAGTGTTCCTGTCCCCTCCTTCCAGGCGCTGAGGGCTGCCGGGCAGAGCTCTGCAGGGCTCTTTGGGGAAGGTGCAGGCAGAGGGGGCTGGTGGTGGGAAGGTTCCCGGGGAGGTGTCCTGTGAGTGGGAAGGAGCCTTGGGAGGTGTCTAAACCAACGTCCTGCTCAAAGCAGGGTCAGCTCTGAGGTCACACCGTGTCCCCATTGAGCCTGCCCTGGGAATCTGCCGGGCTGGACCTGCCCAGCTCCTGCACAGCCTCCCAGCACAGCAATGTCCCTGTGAGGGCTAAAACCCTTAAAAGCAGGACTGTGGTGGCCCAGGATGACACACCCCAGCTCCTGGGCTGCAGCTGGGTGTGTGACCTCCAGGCTTGGGGCAGGGGCTGTGGGAGAGGGGCTGCAGATGAGTGGGACCATAAGTGGATGCAGTGAGAGGTTCCTTGGGAGCAGGAAGCCAGGGCTGGGTGGCTCTCCCAGGACTTCCATCGGATTTCTGTGGCTCTCCTGTAGCTCACCGGAGTTTTGCCTGGGAAAAAAAGATCCCTTTGCTTTCAGCTGTGCTGGGAGAAGCAGAGTGAGGTGAGGCTGTGGTGTCCCAGCAGGGTGGGCACAGACTGGCCCTGGGTTTCCTTCTGCTGGAGGGGAATTTGGTCCCTCATGAGAGGCTGAGTCATGGGTGGCACAGAGCACAACACACCAGAGCCTCATGATCCCAGCAGCAAACCCCTGCCCAGCCTTATTTGTAGTTTTTAATGTGGAAATCTGAGGTTCTCACACAGCAGTGAGAACTGGGGGATGGACACAGGGAGCATCTCTGGCTGCCCCTGGGGTTCCTCCGTCCCCACCGTGTCATCCCCATCCAACCATCGCAGCACATCCTCTGCATTAATATTTATTTTTCTCTTATGGCTACAAAGTCTGTTTTTATGAGAATAATTTCCCACAGACCCAACAACAAATGTCAGGTTGACCTAAGGGTTGTTGTTGCCTCAATTTTCTTCGGGCTCCCTCTTGTCCAACCAGCCGGGTACAAGTTGTCTCATGCGTAATTAGCCCGTGATAAATCATCTCCTGCCTTCTCCCCGTGCACGAGGAGCACATTCCCATGTGCTGATCCACGCTGGGGTTTGTTTGTCTGTGCACTCCGTGCACTCCCTGTACCTCTGCAGCTCAGCAGGGCCAGCCTCGCCCAGCTCTGCGCAGCTGCACGGGGACAGGAGCCGCTCCACGGCCACGGACTGCAGCTGCTCTGGGATGGGCCCTGGCAGGACGCGGCTTCAGCCTGCTGGAGATGATCCAGAGAGGCTGTGGCTGCCCCTGCATCCCTGCAAGTGCCCAGGGCCAGGCTGGACCGGGCTTGGAGCAGCCTGGGACAGTGGAAGGTGTCCCCATTGGCAAGGGGGGAACGGGATGGGATTTAAGGTCCCTCCCAACCCAAACCATTCCGTGGTTCTGTGACCCATGGTGTCCATGGAGAGGGTGAATCTGCTGCCCAGCTCATGGCCCAGCCTGGAGCCTGAGCCTCTCTGTTAGTCCATCCCCGATGATGGGGCAGTTCCTGGCCATTCCCACCTCAGCTCTCCAGCAGAGCAGGTTGCTCCGAGGCCTGTCCAGCCTGTCCTGCTCGTGCTGCTGCCCCCAGGCCGGGTGTTCACTGAGAGCCATCCCAAACCCCCTCAGCTGGGTCACAGGAAGGGCAGGACAGGGAAGTGCTGCAGTAAATACCACTATGGAGTCAAATTGCTGTTTGTTTCCCATGAACTCGGTGTTTGCACAGTCAGAGCAAAGGGCTCTGCCTTTCACTCGGATGCAGCACGAGGCCAAGGCACCAAGTGATGCCTCTTCCAGATAATCTCAGCTGGGATCTGCTGAGCTCAGAAGTCTCCTGCTGACTGATGATCCAGGTGCTTTCTGTCTCATTCCTGCCCACATCCAGAGCATTAGGCATGGGAAGCACATTTCAGAACTAACGCCGCCAAGAGCAGCCCTGGATGTACCAAGGCTGCGAGGGTTTGTTCTGTCCCGACCTCTGCATGGCTCGGGCTGGCCCAAACCTCAGCACAGGCTGTCACTGCACAGCCCCGGGGAACAAAGCTCAGCCTGAGCTCCTCCGAGTGTCCCAGGCAGGGGCAGGGGACGTGGTGCGGCACCGAGGAGATGCGGTGCCTCCTAAATCCTCATCATCTCCCACGCCAGGATGCAAGCAGGGAAAAGGCAGGGTTCTTCTCCCTGACTCCCAGGGATGCAGCACTAAACCCCCCACTCCTGCCTGGAGCATCCACCGTCCCTGGAAGGGGTCGAGATGTGGCCCTTGGAGATACGGTTTATGGAAATGGGGGTACTCGGTGGAAAGTTGGACTTGGCAGCTTCTCCAAGCCTGGCTTGGAAATGTAACGTGAGCATCAGCTGCTCCTGTGAGCTCTGTGCTCCTGGGTCGGTGTTGCAAACATCTGGCAGCCCGCTGTTTGTTTGTTTTTCCACCTCACACACATTTTCGTCATTTCTGCCGGGGGTGCTCCGGGGAGGCTGCAGGAAGCCAGTCTAGCCAGGGCAAATCTGGGCTTGCTTTGGGAGGGAAGTCGGGAAGAATGAATGTTTGCCCTGTGGCATCAATTTCCTGCCTAGCATTCTCCAAAAGGCAGCTGGAGAGGGTCCAGGAGCACAGATGTGTGTGTTGTGTGTGCCTGGCACCCTCCTAGCAGGGCTGGGAAGGAGCCTTTGCTCTTCCCTTCCTCCCTCCAGAATTCCCAGAATCAGCACTTTGCTGGGGAGCTCCTCTCCTCGGGAAACACCAGTGCATTATTCAGTTTAATGGCCCGTGTGGGAAGACGCAGCTGCTGCCTTGGGACACGGAGTGATGCAAGGGATGGGTTGGGAGGGAGGGGGAGAGAGAGGTCGGGCCACTGCCAGTGATCCCTGAGCCCCCTGGGCTGGGCAGGCACCTCACACTGCCTGAGCCTTAATTGACAGTGAGTTTTAATGATCTCTTTCAGGAGGCTGAGGAGTGGTAGCTCAGTGCCATGTCCACTGCTGGCATCCCGGTGGGATGGAAGGGCACAGCAATTGCTGCTGGCTGCTGTGTAGTTGTAACAATAACAAAAACCCCCACCCTAAACCTGATTTATTTTAAATGTGCCTTGTCTATGACTGAAATTTTGTTGTGGGCTTCATGTAAAAGGCTTTTGATGCCTCAGGTTTGGCGTGTGTCAGGTTTTACTGGATCACAGAACATCCTGAGTTGGAAGGGACTCACAAGGATCATCGAGTCCAGCTCCTGGCCCTGCACATCATAATCCCAAGATCCCAACATATTCCATCTGATCACAGCCTACGATTCCCACAAGGACAAACATCAGCTAACAAAAGCTGGCTTCACGTGGCCCCAACCAAAACCTCTCATGTGCATTTTCACCTTCCTTCTCATGAAATTGATTGGAGAAGCCTTTCTTTGCCACTTCACAGCCTGCTGGCAGTTGTTGGTTGTGGTTATGGAAATGTTTTATTTGAATAGTTATGGGAAGGAGTTTCAGCTGGGGGCTGGCTTGGCTGCAGCCCCACCCAGCAGTGCTGGAGCTGCTGGGGCAGCCCTGGGTGGATGGCACCGGCCCCAAGAGCTCCTCATCCTTCCTTCTGATCTCCTCATCCTCGAGGGCTGAACAGAATCAGGAATCCAGCCTGGTTTGGGTTGGGAGGGCCCTTAAAGCCCCTCCTGTTCTCCCCTGCCCTGAGCAGGGACACCTTCCCCAGACCAGGTTGTTCAGACTTGAAACCTTACTTAGAAATCAAATACGTGCTGAAATTCAAGTGCTCCCTTGATACCATTGTGGGTTTGGATTTTATTCTTCTTTTCCTATTAAGTCATGTGCTGTGACAGCATAAATAATGTGACTGAGTGTCTTTGGCAGTCTGGTCATCTGCAATGTGTCTCGAGGCTTTTGAGGGGGGGTAAAGCCAGAAGAGCTGTAGCTGTTGGACTGAGTGAGGCTGTGGAAAGGGGATCATTACCTGGCTGCACAAATAAGTTGATTTTTTTCTATCTTCTAGGGTCTGTTTTCCTTTTGCTGTGTCTCTTGTAAGGCCAATTAGCATTAATGGGAGTTGTGGAAACAGGCCCTTACAGGAGGACCTCGTTAGCTCTGTCTTCCTGTGGTTTTCATGCTGAGTTGCTAAGTTTTATGGATTAGCAAGAATGCTAAAAAATATGGCAAAGCAATGCTGGCTGTTGCCATACTGAAGTGCTTACTGAGTGAAATTAATGAGTCAGGTTTGGGAATGGATTGGCAGGTCCATAAGTAACCAGACCTCTGGAAAATCCATACCAAGGCAACCTGATCAGCCAGCTGTACAAATATCCCACTGACCTCTTCCTCTCGGACAGCCTAATTCCTGAGAAACTCTGTTTCCAGGGGAAAACCACGAGAAATTCCCACAAACTTTGCCTTCCCAACCTGCCAGAGAGGCGTTTGGGAGGGAGTCACACCCGGGGGAAGGCCCGGGGGATCTCCTTGGCTCAGCAGTGCTGCAAGGATTGCTGATTTCCTGGGATAACTGCGAGTCCCAGCCGTCCTGCATCCAACTGAGCTGGGATTTTTGTGGGTGTTGTGTATTTAATTCAGCTGTGAGAAACCTACAGCCCCTGACATCACTTCCCTGGCCTGGGGATGTTTGATTTTTCCCACGTTATGGTGGGATAATGAGATGTGTTTTCCTGTGTGGTCTCCCAAGGGGCCCTGAGGCAGGAAAGATTCTTCCCTGTTTCTTCTTCTTCCCGTGAGTTTAAGGGAATGCAACAGCACGAGGGACCTGGGTTGTATCAGAATGTGAATTTGCAGGTCAAAGAGTGAAATATCTGAATTTCAAGTCTATCCATGTGGATTAATTATCAGGATCACGGGATAAATGAACGTGGTTGAGCAGGAATGACAAAACATGGAGGTTGGGAAACACCATCCTTTTTAGAGAGGCGAGTTTTGGAAATATTAAATAAATGTAGGATTTAGACAGAGAAATGTCCCTGTGCAGTAGCTATTTTGATATTGCCAGCTCACCTTCCAAGCCCTGTTGTTTTGAAATGAACTCTCGGGGTTGAATTTAACATCCTTGCTTTCAAAAAGCCAAGCACACAAAAGGACAAGGTTTCCTTTCTCGTTTTTACTGCTGTTTCCAGTCCAGCTCTGTAACGCTATTTTTAGAACCCTGCGTTTTAATGCTGTGGCATGAACTGCTGGGATTTCCCCTGGCTGATATAAAAGAGAGGATCTGCACTTTGGTAATTGCAGTCAGCCAGGAAATCCGTGCCTGGTGCCAGAAATGGGCCTTCCTTCATAAATCTGTATTTATTTTCATTTCCCTGAGCAGCGGTGACGTGCCAGATCAGCTGTGCTGGTGTCCTGACACATTCTGGAGTGCCATGGAACAGGGGAGGCTGGGAAGCAGAGGCAGGGTTTGCCTCTGATTCACTGGGGACACGCACAGCTGGGAAGTGCTGGCTCTCAGGGAATCGGGGATGGCACTGTGTTCTGAGCCCCATAAAGAACTGGCAAAAGGCACTTCACAGGGAGCCTCACACCTTTGCAAACGTAAGTGATCAGTCCTGTCTGATGGCCCTTGCCACCTTGACAGAATTATCTGTTATCGATCATAGATTTATTACAAAGCAGGAAAGCTGTGATCAAGTGGGCTGAAATCAATGGAACAATCCCTGGAAGTGCCCAAGGCCAGGTTGGATGGGGCTGGGAGCACCCTGGGATAGAGGAAGGTGTCCCTGCCCACTGCAGAGTGGAATGAGATGAACTTTAACATCTCTCCCAATCCAAACCATTCCACGATTCTATAATCCAGAGATCTGGATGCTCTTTCAGCTTGGCCTGTCTGAGCAAACCTCTCTTTCAGTGTAAAATGAGGATTATTCTGCCAGTTGATCATTTCACCATCCCTGGAGGTGTCCAAGGAAGGCCTGGCATGGCACTCAGTCCTCTGGGCTGGGGACAGGATGGGGATTGGTCACAGATTCGGTCTTGGAGGGCTTTTCCAGCCTCAGTGGTTCTGTGATTCTATGATTCAATCCACTTTCTGTGCAGCCTGTGAAGGAAAAAGGCTCTGTATAAATAACCTATAATTATGCTTCTTTTTGGATCCAAGTTAATTCCCAAAACTCCTGTGTCCTGTTGCTGCTCTGGCTGGTCCCTTCCCCTCCACTGGGAAGGCTTTACAAGGTAAGGGTTACGTGAAGCACTTTCTAAAGTTCTATTTTTGAGAGTTCTGAAAGGTGACACCTGTGTGGAAGTCATTGCCATCCTTAAAATAACCAGGGTGGCAGCTCCGGGCACGGTGACATTGGTGGTGAGCAGGGACACACACGGCACGGGGGGAGTGGGACTGGCTCTTATCAGGGTTTTAGAGCACCAGGTACTGCGGAGCTTAATCCTGACAGGGCCTCAAGGTGTGACAGCTCGATAAATATTGAATGTGCCCTTAATCTCGGGGCGGGGAGTGCTGTACCCCCAGCAGGAAGTGCTGATCCTCCCTTTGTGAGTGCAAGATACTGCAGCGAGTATCTCCCACCCTATCGGGCCAGATATGGGAAGTGTACTCAGAGGGATATTGTGCAAAGAGCAAACAGCAGCAGGGAGGGCTTTTGTTCCGCAGGCACCGAGCCGGGGTCAGCGGGTGACACACTGCAGAGCTCCCCAAACTGCAGGCTTGGAGTCAGACCTGACTTGGTCTGGAAAGGGAGGTGCCCTCCCCAGAAAGGGGGGCTGGGTGTGCTGTCCTCCTGCAGAGGAACGGGGAGAAGGGAGAGTGCAGGGACAGTGGGACACACTGCGAGCTGATCCCAGCGCTGGGCACCCCAAATCCTGCTGGGGGACGTGGCTCTCGCCCCGCACACCTGGCAGAACAACCCACAGCCCTTCCTCTGAGCCCTGGAAGAAAGGCCAGCAGGTAAAGGTCAGGGAGCTTAGTGCCTGTAGCTGGGTTCTGCAGGAAGGCAGCCATGGCTCGTGAGGGGAGGCTGCAGCGTGGGATGCCAGCTTGCTTGTGTGACTGATGCCCAGTGACAGCCCGCTGCTGGTGCAGCTGGGGACTCTCGCTCCTCACCATCACCACACGACAGCAAAACTCTTTGGGAATGAAATTTTCTGCCGGGGGCTCACGAAAGCACTCGCTGCAACCGCTGGGAATGAATTCACTTTTATTTTATCACAGTGCCATGAGAAAACGGTGAATTGTGTGAATTCCCTGGACACCTCCAGGGACGGGCACTCCAAACCTCCCTGGGCAGCCCCTGCCAAAGTTTAACCCTTTCCATGCAGAAATTCTTCCTGTTGTCCACCCTGAGCCTGCCCTGGCTCAGCCTGAGGCTGTTCCCTCTCCTCCTGTCCCTGTTCCCTGGGAGCACAGCCTGACCCCACAGCTGTCCCCTCCTGTCAGGAGCTGTGCAGACCCACAAGGTTCCTCTGATCCCCCTTTTCTCCAGGCTGAGCCCCTTCCCAGCTCCCTCAGCCCCCTCACAGGACAGACTGGATGCAGGTCGTTGTTGCCATTCCCTGGGGAGCAATTCCCTGTGACATATCTGGGCCACCTTTGGTGTGCCCTCCCTCATACCTGTGGTGGCTGCAGGCTGGGGCTGCGTCTCCTCCCAGCCCTCCTGCACTGCAGCATCCTGTGGCAGGGCCAGGTTCTGTGCCAGCTGGGGACCCCTTCAAAAACCCTCTGGCAATGTGTTATCACCATGGCGTGTCACCATGGCTTCCAAATGGTGGCTGCAGGTCCCCAGAGATGGGGACAAAGCTGCTGGTGCCATGTTGTGTAAACAGGAAGAAAATCTGCCTGTTCCCTCGGTGACTCCATGGTGACCAGGAAACACTGGCCCATTTCACAAGCCTCCCCTGCCTCTCACGGGTCACACACATGGTTTGCTTTCCCCAGAGCCACGGACACCTCTTTGTGTGACTCTGACAACAGAGTCACAGCTGCTTGGGCTGGAGGGGACCTTAAAGCTCAGGGACCCCTGGCAGGGAGTCCCCACTCTTGATTCCACAGCTCTGGGCCTTCTGCTGGCAGCTGTGCCAAGTTCTTCAATAGCTTTTATCTGCGATAAATCACAAAAAAAAATTCTAAAGATTTTAAAGCAATTTAATCTAAGATCTCCTTTCTTAAACCATTTAGGACACTTTGAAATAGCAAACAGCTTATGGAAACCATCACGTGCTGACAGATTCACAGGAATGGGGGCAAAGTTTGTGATGCTGAGCAGTGCTAGAGGAGCCCCAGCACGGTGAGGTGGTGGCTGCTACAGCTCCTGCACCTCCCCGGGCTCCACAGGCTGCCAGCTCAGCTGGCATCCAGCCACGGGTCACCTCAGGTGGCCACGGGTCACCTCAGGTGGCCTGAGGACACGACGGCCGAGCTCCTGGTCAGGGCAGCACAGAGGGCCATCCTCTGGCCATCACCTCCCCCAGGATCTACCTTCAGAGAGCAGAAATAACCAGTTTTGCACTTCAGTAAATATTATCTATATTTGGATGCTAGCTGCAGTCTTGCCCTTGCTCCTTTTGAAGTCAGCGGGTTTGACAGATGAGGAAACAGGCTCTAAAGCAAAGCAAGAAAAATCTTATCCCACCTTATTTTCATCCCAGTTCCGCACATAAAAGGGCAGGGCTGCTTTTAAGGAGTCTGTTGTAGCAACAGCCTGCAACCAACACACACGTGCTGTTATCTCTTGGTGGGAGATAAATTTACATTGTCAGGCCATGCCATGGAAATGCAACATTTGCATTTTCCTGCCAGGATGTGCCAGGACGCTGCAGGGCAATCCCAAAGCAGGAGCTGGGCACTGAGGTGAGGCGGAGGAAGGAGCAGCCTGGCCTCCTGCCAGGCACTGCACGCTGCAGGGTTTCAGAGGGGATGGAGAGGAGCCCAAGCAAAGCTCCAGAAGTGTGTCACCAGTAAATATCATAACACGGTCTCGGGGCTTGCAAAGACTCTCCTCACTAGTCCTTACTTGTATGGGTATTCCCATTCCCTCTGCTGTAAGCTGGGAGACCCAGGCATTGTTTTTGCACGCTGGATCTCAGAATGATGCACACACACTCATCTTGCCCCCTGGATTCAGTGAGCCCCACCATCCTCCTTGGGATGCTCCATCCTCTAAACATCCCAGCTTCCTTCATTTGTGTTTTCCCTCTATCTTTTCCTGTTTTACAGTGACTCCACAGTTCCTTCATCGCTGCCTGGTGTTTCTTTCAGTAGCTCACCAAGGCTGTAACATCTGTGTTGTTTCATCCATCCTTGTCCCCTTCCAGTGGGGAAGGCTTTGTGTGCAGTTTCTGTTTTGGCAGGATTTTCAGGTTTGGTTTTTTGTTTTTTTTTAAAGGCAGCAGTAGAAATGTTTTGCTCCCTCCAGCTCCTGTGTGTAAATTAGGAAAGAGCAGGTTGCTGGTGGCTGGGGGAACAGGGAAGATTGATGAGGTTTCTGCAATCCCATGGGAGTTCCCTGGCAGGCTCCTGGGAAACTGCTGAGTCCTGCATGATGAACCTCACCCTCACAGTAACAGCTCTGTTTTGCTCGAGGAGCCATCAGGAGTGCCACCATCATTGTCATCCAGAAGCATTAGGAGATCTTATAGATATGCCCTTGAATGCCTTGAAAATAGAGAACAAAGCCTCCTACCCTCTGCACCATCTCCCAGGGGGTTGGGCTATTGCTCGGACCTTTTGACAGGAGAAGAGGAAACGGCCTCAAGCTGTGCCAGAGGAGGTTCAGGTTAGACATCAGGAGGAATTTCTTCATGGAAAGGGTTTTTCAGCACTCCAAGGGGCTGTCCAGGGAGGTATCCAAGGAAGGACTGGATGTGGCACTCAGGGCTCCGGGCTGGTGACAGTGTGGTATTTGGCCAAAGGGTGGATTCCGTGATGCTGGAGATCTTTTCCAAATCTAACAATTCTTTGATTCCCTCCCCAGATCCCATCCTGCTGACTGGTCTGTGCCCTCTGCCCCTCTGTGCCCGTTCCTGACTGCCAGAGCTGCCTCTGTGCTCTGCATTCCCTCCTCACTCCAGCCCTGTATCCCTGAGGCTTTTCCTGGCACCCTTCCCAACTCCTTTTGCTGCCAAGTCAGACTCAGTACAAGCGTCTTGTATTCCCTTTCAAATCCTTTCCTATCGTGGCAAATAAACCCACTGTCCTCCACACACACACTCCTGATATTATCCTTGACAGCTCTTCACTTCTGGCACTCAGCTGCTGCTAATCATATGGTTTCTTTCTCTGAGTCACCTCGTGTGCTCTTGCAGCCAAGAGCTTGACTCTGATTTGGCAATGTCACGGCAGGAGCACATCCCTCGGGATCCCTTTGCTGCCCCGCGTGTCCCACTGCCACCAGCACGCTCCTCTGTGCTCTGCTCTGGGCCACATCCGTGCCTCTGGAGAGTGGGACCATTTCCTCTCCTCTGCCCTCCCACACGCGCCACCAGCACCCCGCTCCACACCGCTGTGCCCGATTTTATCATTTCCCTGCTGCTTTGCAGTTTCTGTTCTTAGCACAGTGACCTGCCTGACCTTGACTCCCAGGTAGCCCGAGCGCTCAGATCCCTTCTCCAAACATCCTGCCACTGAGGCCCCTCTCCCCCCACGCTCTCGTCCTTGTGACATTTGCAAAGAGGGGGCAAACGGAGCAAACCAAACAAACCCCATACTGCTGGAAAAGGGGAACCAATGCAATGTGCAGGGAGCACCAGGAATAACCTCGCTGCCTTCCGAGCCCTGTCCTTCCCCTGACCCCTCCTGCCGCACGCCTGCTCCATGCTGCGGGCCCGGCACAGGACCCCCCGCTCCTCCCCAAATCCCCTGTGTACCTACGGAGCGATAACCGAGCTCAGCTCCTCCCTAGGAAAACAACCGGAGCTTCCCAGAGGAGCTGTTTGCAGACGACGCTGCAAAACCGCTTCCCCGCACTGCTCCTTGTACCGAGCAAACGTAAGGGCAGCCTAAAGCCAGAGGGCTGGGATATAAAAGTTGGATTTCTCATTGTCCAGAGAATGCTGCAGGTGTGGACACACCTATTCACCCTCCCAGCCCCTCGGCCGGTCCCGCTTTGTATGAAGAGGGTGTTGGTGTTTATTGCCTTTTTTCCCAGCTGTACACTGGCACGGACTTTGCTCCTCTGGGCTGGGATTTCTAAGCAGCGGGAGGCTTTCCACGTGTGTTTGAGAAGGTACAAAGCCTGCCGGAAAACAATGGAAATAGCTGCCTTATGACTGCTGCGTGTCACGCACTCGGTTCTTGCCCGCTCGTTTGTCCTTGGAGCTGCTTGCACTGCCTGGAACCTGATCTCGAGCGGTGCCGGGCGCCGGGGCTGGCACGAACACCGGCACCGAGCCACGGGCACGGCCGCGCTCCGGCCTGGCCGGAGCCCGAGGCCTCGGGCAGGGGCTGACCGACCCCCTCAGCCCCCGGAGCCACCGCGGAGGTGTGGAGCGGGCGGTGGGTTCCGTGAGGAGTGGGGGTTTGTGGGGGCTTCCTGATGGGAGGAAACAGCTGCTTCAGAGCTGAGTGCTTCTCCCGTGCTCCCTGGCCTGGGAGCATCCCGGCTGGCTCAGCATGGCTCTGCTAGGTTCTCCACACCTCCAGGACAGGATCTCCCCCGATCCCCTCGACCTTCCCAAAGGACAGGCTCCCTCTGTGCAAGCTTCCCTCGGACTTCAAGGACAGGATCCCCTTTATTTCCCCTACGATAGCCTCCCCTCAGCCTCCCAGGACTGGATCTTCTCATCCACAAGCTCCCCAAGCACAGGATCGCCTCCATTTTCCCCAGGACTGGATCCCCTCACCTGCTCCTCCAGGACAGGCTCCCCTCAGCCCCGCCAATAACTGGATGCCCTCAGAACCCTCTGGGACAAGCTCCCCTCATTCTCCCCAGCACAGGAGCCCCTCAGCCCCCCCAAACACGCGATCCCCAAGACTGGATCCCTTCAGCTCCCTCTGGCCAAGCCCCCTCCAGCCCCTCCTCAGCGGGCACAGCCCGGGGGGGGCCGGGATGCAGCAGCCTCCGTTCCCCCGTGCCTCCCTCGCTGCCTGCTGCGTGCCGCAGCCCGCCTTCCCCCCGCCCTGCCGCGCTCCCCCCGCTCGCCGCCCGCGGTGATCCGCGCTGAGCTCACGGCCGCGCCTCACGACACCCTGGCTCGGCACGTCAGCCCCGCCATCGCGTGAGAGCCGCCGCCCGCCGCCGCCCCCCCGCCCGCCGCCATCACGCACGGCGGGAACAGCTGCCGGCACGGCGCGGCCAGACCCCGCTCCCAGACCCCGCTCCCAGCCAAGGCGGGCTCTCGCCAGCTCCTATTAATGCAGATCTTAATTAATGACCCCCGCGGGGGGCGAGCCGCCCTTCACACGCAACACGCGCTCCCCCCCGTTAGCCCGCGCCTGGCGGGGAAGCACGAAGAGGTTAAAATGGAGGCGGGGGCGTGAGGCGGCTGCCAAGGCGGGATTAGCGCGGCCCGGAGCTCGGCACGCAACGCGGGACGGGGCACGGCGGCCACACGCGAGGGACCCGCGGTGACACGCGTGGCACCGCCGTGCAAAGCCGGGGGGGAGACGCAGAGCACCGGGCGCCCGAACGGGCTCACGGTACCCTCCGTCTCCCACCCGGCTTTGCATCCCTCTGTTGAGACAACTCTTACCCCTTTTTCCTTTTTCCCCTTCTTTACTGATGCAATTTTCCTTTTTTTTTTCCAATAAAGCTTTTTTTCTGTCCCCTAAAATTCACTACTTTCTTCAATCCAACCCCTCTTTTCTCCCCTATTCGTCTCTCAACCTTACTGATTCTTCACCTCAGAGATGGGTCGTGCATAAATTAAATTAAGGTCACCTCGGGTTTTTTTTTTTTTTTGCCATGGCCTGTCCCCAGTTTTGTGTGTGTGTCCCTAAATTATGGTTTTGGGGGTGTATTGTTTTATATAAGGATGTAGGGAATGTTTTGGGGATGTAGGAAGTGCTTTGGGGATGTAGGAATTCCTTTGGGCAGATGGTCCCTGCTGTGTGATAAATCCAAGTCCCAAACAGGGGCTGGGTTTTGGAGGAAACAGGAACCCATCAGCGCTGGAAAGAAGGGCAGAAAGTGGAATTAATCCCGCTGAAACTGCCGAATCTCGCTGCCAATCCTTCCCTGATTTATTTATTTTCGTGACTGTGTTCGCTCCAGTGGGTCTCACCGGGAGCTGGCGGCTCCCGGTTCATCCCGAGGCTGAGCTCGTGCCTCGGGTGTGACACGCAGATGACCCGGCCGGCAGGGCCGGATTTGGGGGTGTCAGGGGTGGTTTTGGGGCACCAGAGCCGAATTGGGGCTGGTGGGGCTGAATTTGGGGTGTCAGATTCAGGTTTGAGGTGTCAGGAGGAGCTTTGGGGTGTCACGGTTAAATTTGGGCTGTCAGAGCTGGCGGGGGGGGGGGCAGAAGGGGTTTGGGGGGTCGGTATAGAATTTGGGGAGTCAGGGACGGGTTTGGGATGTCAGGGCCAAATTCGGGACATTGGGGGTGACTTTGCGAGTGCAGGGCCAAATTGGGGTGACACCGGAGCCCGCCGCCGAGCCTGCGGGAGGCCATGGAGCGGCGCGGCCCCGTCCACGCGCTGCCCGAGGAGATCCGCAAGGTACGAGCTGTGGAAATGCCAAGCCCCAGCACTCGGAGCTCCTGCAGCAGTTCAGGGGTGGTGCACGGGCCTGTGAGCGCCGGTGCATTATCTGTACGTTTTGGCCCTGGGTTAGGTTGGGTGTTGGGTTTCCTCACTCTTTGTGCGGTGTAATTACAGTAATTCTATAGGAACCCTGCAGAGGAACACCTGGGTCTGTGCCGGGGCTGTCACTGCAGGTGAGTTTTGGAGAGCATCTCGCCCTGTGCCGGGTTATCACTGCAGGTGAGTTTTGGAGAACACCTCACCCTGTGCCGGGGTTGTCACTGCAGGTGAGTTTTGGAGAACACCTGAGTCTGTGCCAGGGCTGTCCTGTGCTAGGACTGTCAGTGCAGGTGAGTTTTGGAAAACACCTCGCCCTGTGCTGGGGTTGTCACTGCAGGTGAGTTTTGGAGAACACCTGAGTCTGTGTTGGGGCTGTCAGTGCAGGTGAGTTTTGGAGAGCATCTCGCCCTGCACCAGGACTGTCAGTGCAGGTGAGTTTTGGAGAGCATCTCGCCCTGCACCAGGACTGTCAGTGCAGGTGAGTCTCAGCTCTCCCCTTTCTGGCGTGTTTTGCTGCCAGGAGTTTGGGAGGACTGCAGAGCATGACATGTTCCAGAGGAGTATCAACACACACGGGGACGGAACATTCCCCTTGCTCTCCCCTGGTGTCTTTGTGTGTTCTTTTGTTTGCCAGACAGATGACTGCCGGTGTAACAGCTCTGCTGTTTATATGGCTCAGTTTAGGAGGAGGCTGCACTCAAGTGGAACACGAGTCACTTTTTGTAACTCTATCAGGTTTTCACTCTGGCAGTACAACACCCAGCTGTCCTCATTCCTCGGTCTGCAGCTCATAATTGACAAATCATTTAAAAGCTTTGTGTACTCAGCCTAGAGAAATTCTCCCTGGCTTAGTCCAGGAAACAGTTCAAACAGTTTCTGAGATGATTTCTGAGAAATCAAGGATGGGCAAGATGGACAAAGAAAAGGAAAAGGAATACTTAGCCTTAAAAAAAAAGGAAGGGAAGCAGCTGTGGAACACCTTCAGACTCTTGAGCAGCTGTTTTCATAGCAGGAAGGATCCCACTAAGTTTGTTTATTTAGCAGTTAAGTTTTTAGCCCCAACGGGGTACAGTGGTGAGCAAAAATCAGTGTAAGCTTCTCAGAGAAACAGTTGTACCAAACTGTTGAATGAGGGAACCCTCCTGGAGCTGGTTACTGCTTAATATTTCCTTTAATGACTTAAAGCTGCAGTTTGGTGGCACTTGAGCCTGTTTTATGTTGGGATCAGTTCCTGAGCCAGTTCCTGCTCCATGTGCTAGGCATATGCTGGCACAGGGAGGGAGCCAGGGCAGGCACAGGAATGCAGTGACATGAGTTCTGTCAGCAGCAGTGTCAGTGGCTGCTGGTTACTATTGAGCCAGCACCTTGGATTACAATAGGGAATACGCTGGTGCCAGTCGGGAAGGGGTGTGAGCACTCTGGGAACAGCATTAAACTCCATATTCTTAGGAAAAATAAGGCATTTAAAATTAATCCAGTGCATCAATACAAAATCCATAATAACCTCCTTGTCAGACTTAACAGTCTGAGGGCTGTAATCGGGTCACAAGCAGAACAAAGGGATGTTACACAGAAAGAATCTGTTAATGTATTGATAGTTTGAATGTCTCAATAATTGTAATAGGAATTGCATGTGAAACTTGGGTCTTTGTTGTCCCTCTGTCCAGGGCTGTTGAAGTTTCAGTTCTGAAAAATAGTGGCTGTAAAGATAGTGACGTGACTGATGGGAATTTAGAAAAGAGCAAAAAATAGTAAAGAGCTTAAAAATCTTCTAAGGATAATAGAGCTGGATTTGCTCATTCTGGAAAATACCTGAGGGCACAGTAACTGCTCACAGGAGGTGGTGGTTCATTTCCAGGTGCAGATGAGTCTTTTCCTCACATTTCTCAGGACTGTCAGTGCAGGTGAGTTTTGGAGAGCATCTCGCCCTGCACCAGGACTGTCAGTGCAGGTGAGTTTTGGAGAGCATCTCGCCCTGCACCAGGACTGTCAGTGCAGGTGAGTTTTGGAGAGCATCTCGCCCTGCACCAGGACTGTCAGTGCAGGTGAGTCTCAGCTCTCCCCTTTCTGGCGTGTTTTGCTGCCAGGAGTTTGGGAGGACTGCAGAGCATGACATGTTCCAGAGGAGTATCAACACACACGGGGACGGAACATTCCCCTTGCTCTCCCCTGGTGTCTTTGTGTGTTCTTTTGTTTGCCAGACAGATGACTGCCGGTGTAACAGCTCTGCTGTTTATATGGCTCAGTTTAGGAGGAGGCTGCACTCAAGTGGAACACGAGTCACTTTTTGTAACTCTATCAGGTTTTCACTCTGGCAGTACAACACCCAGCTGTCCTCATTCCTCGGTCTGCAGCTCATAATTGACAAATCATTTAAAAGCTTTGTGTACTCAGCCTAGAGAAATTCTCCCTGCCTTAGTCCAGGAAACAGTTCAAACAGTTTCTGAGATGATTTCTGAGAAATCAAGGATGGGCAAGATAGACAAAGAAAGGGAAAAGGAATACTTAGCCTTAAAAAGAAAAATGAAGGGAAGCAGCTGTGGAACACCTTCAGACTCTTGAGCAGCTGTTTTCATAGCAGGAAGGATCCCACTAAGTTTGTTTATTTAGCAGTTAAGTTTTTAGCCCCAACGGGGTACAGTGGTGAGCAAAAATCAGTGTAAGCTTCTCAGAGAAACAGTTGTACCAAACTGTTGAATGAGGGAACCCTCCTGGAGCTGGTTACTGCTTAATATTTCCTTTAATGACTTAAAGCTGCAGTTTGGTGGCACTTGAGCCTGTTTTATGTTGGGATCAGTTCCTGAGCCAGTTCCTGCTCCATGTGCTAGGCATATGCTGGCACAGGGAGGGAGCCAGGGCAGGCACAGGAACGCAGTGACTTGAGTTCTGTCAGCAGCAGTGTCAGTGGCTGCTGGTTACTATTGAGCCAGCACCTTGGATTACAATAGGGAATACGCTGGTGCCAGTCGGGAAGGGGTGTGAGCACTCTGGGAACAGCATTAAACTCCATATTCTTAGGAAAAATAAGGCATTTAAAATTAATCCAGTGCATCAATACAAAATCCATAATAACCTCCTTGTCAGACTTAACAGTCTGAGGGCTGTAATCGGGTCACAAGCAGAACAAAGTGATGTTACACAGAAAGAATCTGTTAATGTATTGATAGTTTGAATGTCTCAATAATTGTAATAGGAATTGCATGTGAAACTTGGGTCTTTGTTGTCCCTCTGTCCAGGGCTGTTGAAGTTTCAGTTCTGAAAAATAGTGGCTGTAAAGATAGTGACGTGACTGATGGGAATTTAGAAAAGAGCAAAAAATAGTAAAGAGCTTAAAAATCTTCTAAGGATAATAGAGCTGGATTTGCTCATTCTGGAAAATACCTGAGGGCACAGTAACTGCTCACAGGAGGTGGTGGTTCATTTCCAGGTGCAGATGAGTCTTTTCCTCACATTTCTCAATGTGCTTTGCTTGACTGCTCTGAAACTCTGGAGCAGCTCTCCCAGGCTGTTGTGGAATTCTCCCAGTGGGATTGTCCCTTCAGCTTGTCCCTCAAAGTAGAGGATGGGGCAGGCAATCTCTGGATTGTAAACGTGTTTTGTTAAACGTGTAGCCAGCAGTGCTGGGTACACGTTTAACAAAAAAATCTGGTGCAGAGGATGCAGGATTTCCAGACATGGACACACTTCTGCTCCTGTCCCATCCTCCTGGTGCCACGTGTGAGCTCCAAGGCAGCGACAGCCCGGGATTTGGGATGAGAAAGTGCTGGGGTTTTACACATCCTGTGCTGTTGCTCATCTCCTCCTCAGCTGGCTCGTGTGGTAGCTGCAGCATCCTTACAAGGCACTACAAGTCACTCTCACCATTTCCTGCCCTTGCATCCCCCGTCCTTTCTGCACACATGTCCTCACTCCCTGGATAATAGAGCTGGATTTGCTCATTCTGGAAAATACCTGAGGGCACAGTAACTGCTCACAGGAGGTGGTGGTTCATTTCCAGGTGCAGATGAGTCTTTTCCTCACATTTCTCAATGTGCTTTGCTTGACTGCTCTGAAACTCTGGAGCAGCTCTCCCAGGCTGTTGTGGAATTCTCCCAGTGGGATTGTCCCTTCAGCTTGTCCCTCGAAGTAGAGGATGGGGCAGGCAATCTCTGGAGATGCCACCAGTGCTGGGTACATGTTTAACAAAAAATCCGGTGCAGAGGATGCAGGATTTCCAGACATGGACACACTTCTGCTCCTGTCCCATCCTACTGGTGCCACGTGTGAGCTCCAAGGCAGCGACAGCCCGGGATTTGGGATGAGAAAGTGCTGGGGTTTTACACATCCTGTGCTGTTGCTCATCTCCTCCTCAGCTGGCTCGTGTGGTAGCTGCAGCATCCTTACAAGGCACTACAAGTCACTCTCACCATTTCCTGCCCTTGCATCCCCCGTCCTTTCTGCACACATGTCCTCACTCCCTTCCCGTCCTCTGCTGCCCAGATTTCATAGCCTCTCCCCTGGAATCTCCCTGTCAGGGGGACGTGTGCCAGCTGTGCTGTGCCAGACGGAGCACGTGCTCCCAGGGCAGCACGTGTGGCTGCAGGGAGCCTGCCAGGCACTCAGTGCTGCCCAGAGTGAGGGATGTTCCTGGCCAGGCTTGGGATGGATGGATGGATGGATGGATGATGGATGGATGGATGGATGGTGGATGATGGATGGATGATGGATGGATGGAGGATGGATGGATGGATGATGGATGGAGGGATGCTGGAGGTTGGCTTGTGGCACTCACATGGGGTCCAGGAGCTGCCTCACAGGGCAGGCTGCAATGAGAGCTCTCGTTTTCCTCCCCTTGGAGCTGCACAAGCTGCTTATCAAGGTTTTATTTTAGAGGAAGTTTTAGTCTAGAGGGAAGGAGATTTCTCAGCATTTTGTTA